CCACAATAATATTTTATAAATTAAATATTTTATCCTCGATAATAACTTTATTGAGAAATCAAGAAGGAAATATAATTTTGTTGAAAATTACAAAAGGAAGAAAATGATGTCAATTAATGTTACATAACAAAGTTTGGTTAAACAAAAAAAAACAAAACATTGAAAAAATTGAACTAATTCCAATATTAAAAAATAAATAATTAAGATTGTATACTGAGAATCATAGGTATTACAATTGACTTTCATATGATATATATATATTTTTTATGAGGTTTCTGTCAAAGTTACAAATTAGTCATAAAGTAAATAATCTACATTCATAAACTAAGTTTGTCAATGACAACAATAAAGGAGGTATATGTTCCTATATAGTGTATTATTTTCATGATATCCTTATCATAAAAATATCACTGGATAAGATAGTTAACCTCTACAACAAATTTCCTACTTAAACTACACACACTAAAAAATAAGGTTAAAAAAAATGCAACTTATACCATTTTTTCACAACGAAAAAAAATGGGCCTATAAATTTTATGATAGTTAATAATTGTGATATATATATTTTTTATGATAGTTAATAATTAATATTTTATGATATATATATATAATTTATATATATATGCAGGGTTACCTCCGTGAACGTTCGTGGCCCCCCGAGCTGGCCCCCGAACGTTCGGGCGTTCGGGGTCATATTCGGGGGCCGAACACCTCCAGGTTCGTCCCCCGCCAAAATTTCTTTCGGGGCGTAAAAATAAGTTTTTTTTTCTGAATGTTTCTTTATGAGTTGTCTATGATGTAACCTACACGCCTAGAAATTTTGAAGCCATTCTGCTGAGCCAAACGAACATTAAAAATCGTCAAAGATGGGGGTATCAAAACGTGCTCGCCCACTCACTATTCTGTTTTTTTTCACTTTTAACTTTTTGTTTTCACTTTATCTTGGGGCCTATACAATTTTATTATTTTTTGAAAAATAATTAATTAAATATTGATTATGTAAACTACATATCTGTAAATTTTCAGGACATTTGTCAATGCCAAAAAATAATTAAAAATCGTCAAAGACGGCGGTGTCGAAAGTGCTGGCACACTTACTCATTGTAATTCTCTTTTTATTTTTTCTTATTTTTATCATAGTGTTTATTTTTTCTATTTATTTTTTAATTCAAATTTGGTAAAGAATTGGGATGTAGTTCCTAGGCAAATGTTGTTTAGTTTATTTCTCTCCATAACATATTTTGTTTCCGAAAGTTTTTGAAAACTTTTGTTTTTTTTTTTGTTTTTTTTTTTTGGTCCGCGTTCGGCCTGAACGGCCGAACGCCTTCCAAAGGGGTCCCGTACGTTCGGGCGTTCGGGTTTGGGCGTTCGGTCCGTCCCGAACGCCTGCAACCCTCTATATATGTATAAAATTCAATCAAAAAAAAAATCGACTTGTTTGTATTTTTTCAAACACGTACTACTGCACATTTAAAAAAAACTTATTTTTATTAACATCATTTTTCTACGGCGCAGTCAGGGTTTGAGTTTGTAATTGCACTTGAGGCAAAAGGGCCGGTAATGATGAATGTATATGACCTACGTTTCGGGTCCGGTGGGGTTGCGTGGGGGTGTATTGTATTCGCGGGATTGCCTGAAGTGCAATTACAAACTGTTTTCGTGACTGCGGCGAAGTTACCCTTTTTTTTTCTTTACAATTAAGTTTTAAACAATGCGTAAAATAATACTAAATTATGCCTTTAAGAGTGATATTTACCAGACTGCAAGTTTAAATATAATTGAAAGACATGATTTAGTTAACTTTAGTACTACTTTCTGTATATTTGATGACATAGTAATAAAAAAATATCTCATGTTAAATAACATGTCTTTTATATGTGTAGTAGTATCAGTTAAAAAAAATAATAAAATAAAATAAAATACTCATTCCATCCGTGTTACCCGACCGAACATCCGAGGGACATCTACCTCTGCCCCTTTAACCCCCGAACTTGAATGTTCTAGGGTCTGACCGAACATACGAGGGCGAACTTTGGAAAGTTCGAAAAGTTCACCCCCGACAAAAAAATATTTTATGATATATAGAGAGGCGGTTAACGGAGGTGTAAATTTTTATACAACTTCTCATTCCATTTATAACATAACCCAAAATTGATTTAAACCAAAATAGCCACCAATTCATAAAGTGAAAATTATTGTATATACTTTTTTTTTAATAGTTTTTTATAATGTTAGGTACATACCTATAAATTTGCAAGACATCTAACTGTGCCAAAACAAGAAGAAAGATCAAAAAAATGATTGTGGGGCTCTAAATATGTCGCCTACTGATTTTTTTTTTTTTTTTTTCCCTTTCCATTTTTTCTTTTTGTTTTTGAAAAGAGATAAACTTTTTCACCGACTAACTGATGGATAAACAAACAAACAGAAAATAAAACACACAAACAAATAGTGAAAGAAAAGGGGGGGAAATGAAGTGAGTTGGAGGGGGAGTGTGTGAAAGAGAAACGAGCGAAGAAAGAGAGAGGGGGGAAGTTTCAAAGAGAGAGACACACACACAAAGACAAAGATAGGGACACAAAGAAAGGGACAGGGGGGAAAGAGAGAGAGGGAGAGGGAGAGGAAGAGAAAAGGAGAGTGAGAGAAGGAAAGTCTCACACTGAGTCACACACATCGACGTGCAAAGTTTTTTTTTTTTGCCATCAAATAATCAATCAATCAAGTCATTGGCGATCCAAAGTAAAACTATATGTATAATTGTTGTATTCGATCAAACCCGAGCACATCCCCAAGGGGGGATGAATGTTTGGATGTTCGGGCTGAACTGTTTGGCTGAACCCGAATGCCCGTAACATTGCATTAAACCACCAGTCCATCGGAGGCTAAATTGCCGAACCAAAAAGTGCATTTGCCCGAGCCTTACATCTATAGTGACCGCGGATTCAACCACGCGGGACATGGTACCGGTACCAACAACATGTGTGACAAAAAGAAAAGGCAGGCAGACAACCCTCATCATTGCAGCCTGCCTGTCCGTTCTGTTTGGATTTTTTTTTTTTCGATTTTTCTGTTTGTCTGCTTTTTTTTGTGGGGTTGCATTTCTTTTTCTTTGCTTTCACAGGGCCACGTGCTTGAGGTATCATCATTGGAAAAAAAAAAACAAAAAAAAAAAACGAGGTATCATCAGTGAGAGCAACCAGTATTTTCGAATTATGGTCCGCTGCACTACTCTCGACATGCACAAAAGACAAAAATATTGGCTGTATCTTTCCATATTCTAGCGGAAGATTCACTCTCGTGTTGCAAATTTTGAGAGTAGTGCATCGAGGCCCTATGTCTATGGGATCTGGATTCGAACTTAGGGCTGTATTTGAGGACTTCGTCGGTGTACCAACTGAGGGCATACTCGAACTCTTGTTCTACTAAGCTCTGGACGTGATCGCAGTCAGATTCATCCAGGTGTGACCGTAATTTCAGTCAGATACATTCCTACTGTGAGTCTGCCCTGATCTATGTATGTGGGCTCTTTACTTTGCTTTGTTTCGAATGCAGCTGTCCGCCCTGCTGAGTTGGCATGCAGTTTATTTTTATTTTTATTTTTTTGTTGATATTTTTTTTCCTTCCTTTTTCTTTAGAAAGGGCCACGGCCTTGAGGTGTCATGATTGCACTTCCCTAGCCAAAACGCCGAGAAAGTCGAGAAATAATCTTATGGCAGATGGACTTGAACTCCGGTCTGCATTTCAACATTTCTTGGGTGTACCAACTGAGGAACAGCAGTCCGCCCTGCTGAGCTGGGAGGGCGGTTTTCACGGAAACGACGGGGCATCCAAAAGCTTGCAGAGTGTGCCTAGTGCGGTGTGGCTGTCACACAGTGGCACTCTCTTTCAATTGTGGGCCCGCCAGCCCCACCCCCACCAAGCCTCCTCCATGCCTGATCACTGTAGATTTTGGTCTGGTACTTGTCGACAAAAAAAATGAACAGTACAGGGGGTGATGGACTGGTGGTTTAAATGAAATTTATTGTTGGAGATGTATAACAAGGTCTTACCATAAGAAATGTTAATCCACCATTACGTAGGCACCTGGGCCGTGGGTCTGACACCTCAAATTCTGGAGGCGCGAAATGAAAACAGGGCCACCTATCGAATTTATCAACGGCGGGCCCAGTGTTTGACATTTCAGCCTCGTTTTCTTGTGGCGATAAGTTTCGGACTGCAAGGTTGGGCCCGTGTACTTATGGAAAATGATGCTCACGGGCATCACCATGCCACAATGAGGCTCATAACTACAAGCTGATCCCAACCTTGCAGAAAAATGTTTTGTCACCTTGTCCGACAATTTCGGGGATTGGGAAAGACCTACTTATGCAACCGGGGGGAGCCCGTGGGACCAAGAAAAAGGGGCAAACCGATGGAATATGTCCTATCGATTTATGTAGTGCATGTGTTTTCATATGCATGACTTGTTCTGATATGACTGCCGGGCGGGGGGACCTGATTCTTTATCAGTGCATCCTCACTCAATTGCTTTCCAGAATGTATTAGACCACAGTTATGGCAAGCTGAAGCCAACGGCAATTAGACCCCTTCTGGCAGCCAGCCTGATTTCAAGCCTACAACAAGGGAACATGCGGAGGCTGCACCCGACCTGCAAATGGGCGATACCGGCCAGGGGTCAGTACCGACCTGCTTCTATTGGCCAGTCGCTGTGCCTCTCCTCGGGTCCCCTGCCCCTGTGAACATGAGCGGTCTCTGCTCAATGCTGCTCGGGGGGACCAGTGGTTTATCTCTAGGTGGTGGGCGCCAAGCTTGCCCAGGAAGGTACATGAGGCAGCGGTGATTGAACTCAAGCCCTCATCAATGTCACTTGCCTGCCTTACCAACTGACCTAGGCCGCTGGATAAACCAGACACTTCCATCATCCGCACGGGATGGCTGAAATGAGAGGGTAGGCAAGGGCTATGTCTCAGGTCGGACTTTTCCAGCATCTGCACGGGATGGCTGAAATGAGAGGGTAGGCAAGGGCTACGTGTCAGGTCAGACTTTTCCAGCATCTGCACGGGATGGCTGAAATGAGAGGGTAGGCAAGGGCTAAGTCTCAGGTCAGCCATCTTATGCGGAAAGGAGGCGTACTGGGATTGGATCGAGTGCTGGAAAAGCGGAGGTCGGCAGAGTAGAAACAAAAATCCGTGCTTTTCGCGCCATCAGCAGAATCTCGAAAATCTCTTCCGAAGGCTCGGCGGTCGCCACAGCCGCCAGCCGCCTGCCGCCTGCCGCCTGTTGTTTGCCGCCTTCTGCTTACCAACACTGAAATCCTGATGGCGTCTGCGATCGCGATATGATGACCCGTGTCGGGTGTGTTTGGTGGCGGCTGTGACGCCACGTGGCAGGCGTCGACATAGCCGCTTGGTCAACACAACGTGCAAATAGTTGAGGTAGGTGATCGCCACTTCCTTGCCTCCTCCTCGCCCTCCTCTCCTCCCCGTCCTCGTTCTCCTCGTCCTCCTTGTCCTTCTCATTCTCCTCGTCCTCCACCTACTACTCCTCGTCCTCAACCTGCTCCTCCTCCTCCTCTTTACATGTTTAGATCTTTGCTCTTCGTTCCCTTGCGTAGAATGCTGAGCGCTGGTACTTGCAGCAGTTTGGGCAGATAGCAGAACGGAAAGAGGCGAGCGGTCTCTTCTTCCGAGAAGAGACGGTTTCCTGCAGCAGGGTCTGCAACGTATATCGGAATGTTGAAGTCCAGCAGGGACACGAGCGATGTAAGGAAGTCGTAGCTGGAGGGTGAGATATAGGGGGAGGAGGCACGTATGTTCGGCGGCCGTGTGTGTGTGTGTGTGTGTGTGTGTGTGTGTGT